TTGCAGCATATTTGGTGCTATAGCAGAAGAAGGAGAAGAGAACAAACTAGACAACTAGGCCCCAAAAAATGAAGACCACAAAATATCTCTGTGAATGGAGCCAATGGACATGGGGAGGATGACATCATCCTCGGTTTGATGAAATCAACAGCATTCAAGAACTATCCAAACCACTTGAACAGAACCCTCCAATTATGGACACATTGAGACTCTGGGTTGATATGAGGTGGCGGTTCCTCATTCCTGGGTAGTGGGATGTATGGAAAGTCATGAGTGGTTTCCCCTTTGTCTCTCCCCTTCCCCCAGGAACAACAAGAAGAAATAGAAAATTTGGAAACAATGAGTTAACCCAATTTTTCCTAAACATCTAGCCTTCCCACCCTGATGATTATGTAATCATTACTAAAAAATAAAATTAAAAAAAAATACCTTCCCTCCAATCCTGACCAAATTATGTACTTTGTGCCTAAGACATGTCTCTACAAAGAGTTTTTGAAATATCCTGTAAGAGCACTTCAGAATGACATTAACAAATATTATAATATTTGTATAAATGACATATTTGATAATGTCATTCTGAACCTCTCTGCAAATGGGATGTGGAATGTTAAAAATTGGATGGATTTTGTCCTAGTATGACCTCCTATTACTCCAACTCCTGCACAGTTAATCCTGGTATTGCCTCTGGGCAATAACCCAGCTGGACTAGCCAGCTAATTAGAACTTCTGAATTCATAGGGTTCTTATTATTGGAAAATAATTTCTAACTAAAGAAAAGTTTATACTTTTTTGTCAAGAAAATGAGTGGTCTCTTAGAGTCTCTGCCTCCACTGATAGGTCAGTAATATTTGTTACTTTTGAGAACCAGAGTTCTAACCTAGCAAATTCTTACATGCATTGACCTGACAAACATTCAGAAGCACAGCTGCACTAACACAACAGAGCCCCTGAATCTGCTGGGTACTGGAAAGATTTGTATGGTTTATCACTCTATTTTAAAAACCAGAAAGAACTAACAGTCCAAAATTCCTTCTAGTACTTCTTTTACAATCCCAAGAAGTTAGGGGCAGGGGGCCGAGGGGTGAGAGGGTACCAGAAGACCTCACCAGAAGCTGAGTAAATTTGCTCAGAAACAAGTCTGTGCTGCTTCGAAACAACACTCTCACTCTGAGGGGCTTTGTTAAAGATGCCCAAGTGGGCTGAGGAACCACTCAAGTACCTGAGGTAAGGATTTCGACAGACCTTTGGGAAGGATCTAATGCTATAAGAGAATGTCACCCCACGTTCACAATTCCAATGGCTCTCAACTCTGAACACACATTACAACGCCTTGAGACAAAGTTAGAAATAATAGCAATGACTCTTCCACTCTTTCGCCACCCTAAATTAGGCTGGAATGGCTGGAAGAAGCTTGAACATCAGATTTCGAAGCGCCCCCCCCCCGACCCCACCCACAGATTGTTCTCCTGGGCAGCTGATGTCAGTAACCTTCACAGTGTGGAGAAATGACGTGTGTAGCAGAAAACAGGAGCTTTCACCGCGGCCTCCTTTCTCCACAATGTTGCCCTCCAACCTGCCTAACATATTTTAATTTCCTGCAGTACCCCAATTAAATTGGAACTGGCCACATAAACTATGTATTTTCTTCACACAAAGAATCTCCAACATTTATTTCACCCAAGGGGGGGGAACTAATTACTTCATTTTAAAAGCCCACATTTTCAAAATGTAAAATTAATCTAGATATGGAACTGTTTTTACTGACCTGAAACTTGTGTTAGAACAAAACACTTCATGTTATTCATTGCAGACAAACTGATAAATATTTCCAAGGAGGGGAAACTTTGACCTTTCTAAGGTGATTGCCAATCAAAACCACAACTTTTTTTTTTTCATGATAAAGGATTTGATTTAAGGGAAAGATTTCCTGGTGCAGGCGTCAGGGGAGGGAGGGTTGGAGAGGGGTTTCCTGCTCTTTCTTTCTCTCAGATTAAACTGGAGTTAGGAAGGCAGTTCTGCTATTTGCTTCCTCATCCTCATTACTAGTGTGTTTTTTTTTAACTTAAAGTTTCAAGAAGTGATATTTTTGAAGAACAGTTATGCTGAAATGACCAGCTGCACTCCTAAAATCTTGCCGTGCCCTCAGTGAGCACAGAAGACCAAGGAGAAATGACAAGGTATATTCATTTGCACAAATCAAACTGTCTACAGTTCAGCCATCTGACTTCCTGTCGCTAAACTCTGAACATCAACATGCCCACAGCGCATCCATCAAGGCGTGCTTCTTTCCTGCCAGCCCTGGAACAGGAAAGATTCACTCCTCCTCCTCAAGGTGTCAACCTTTGTTGTTATTGATGCATGCAAGCCTGCATTTACTTGCTGAAGCTAATGGGTAAAAGCACTTAAAGGGCTACGCTTTGTGGTTCCATTGTCATAATCCATGTAAAACAAATCAGACCCAATACAGCCTGACATGCTTTCAGACTATTATTATTAGGGGCATATTTAAATTATAGGTTTGACTAAATTTATAATTTACACATTGCACTTAGCATACTTTCATTTTTCTTTTAAAAGTAGCCCCCAAGAGAGACATTTACAAAGTTCCTTTCTTCATGTTTTCAGATGAAAACAACAAAACAAAATGAAACAAAAAGTCAAGTAGCATGGGCAGCCAGAGGAAATGGTTGAAAGTGTGCTCAGAATAGTGAACTTAAATATAAATGGGATTTCACAGCTAACTACTCTTTAACCACTTTGCCATGGATACAGCACATGAATTCATCCTTGTTTTAACTCCCTATTCATCCTGTCACTGCACTAAGAGTGGTGTAAAAACTCCATCCATATCATCATCTCCTCTTTCTTCCTTCTGCCTGATTAGATAGGCTCTTAACAAAACCTGAAGCACTTGCAATAAAATTTAAAATTTTAGCTGAGGAGGAAGTTTATCACATCTAACGTCTTCTTTGGACAATATTCCCAGATAAGTTAGCAACATCTAAGACGGGTAAGTTAAACGCACATCCACATTCAAAATATGCACCAACTGTGATAACTGGTGTCACTGTTACCCAAACACAAAGGTATTTTGCAAAAAAAAATTAAGTCTAACAAGGATGGTGCATAATAAATTTGTTTACTCATTTATTCAACACAGTTACTGAGCACAGACTCAGGGTCACACATTGCACTGGGTGCTGGGAGTGCACAGACACTGCCTCTGTGATGAGCTGGGCACGCACCTGACCATCACAAGAGACTCTTAACACATTCTGTAAGGAGCTCAAGATGAACAGACAAAGGAGAGATGATATCTCTGCGTTAGGAGGTAAGAGAGAGACTGAAAGAGGCTTAAAACAGAAGGTAACTAGAGTTTGGATTTTTAAGGGTGAGTTATTCACAAAATTAATCCAATAGGGAAGGACACCACAAGGAATGGCATGTGTAAGGGTATGTATGAAGTGGCAAAAGGGGGAGAGATGACTAGGGAAAAGTATGATGTTCAGCAGTGAGTAACCACATGGAGTCTGAAAAAAAAAGTTATGAAATAAAGTTTGAAGCACAGTGGGCCAAAACATGAAGTTTATACATCAAGTCATATAGCCTGAGTAGCATCTTGTAAGCCAAATGCCACTGTCAGGTAGCTCCCACATATTTTTAATGGATCCTCACAGTGTTGTTTATTTATTTTAAACTTTACCTAATATGTAAAACTCAAGAGTTGCCCACAAAGTTTCTACCATTCTCTGTGGTCTCCAACTTCAGTCCATTTATCATTACCTTGTTTTCATGGTAGTAGAGAGAAACATTTTTCGGTGCTCATGTCTCAATCACAGATGAGAAAACAAGATGTAGTGAAAGGACACATAATGGTACAAAGCCTAATTTCTTCATTTAAGTTATCTACCTGGCTTACAAATGTTACAAACTTGGGTTTGTTATTCCTGCTCTCAATAGAGACAACCAAGGCTAGGACAAGATAACATGTCTTTATCTAATAAGTCCTGTGGCTTTGAAAGACTCTGGAGTATTATTAAGTGCTGTTTGACTGCAGGATTTAGAATACTCGAATTCTGTCTTGGATTTTCTACCTTGTAATGGTCCTGGAAGAGATAAACTCTTACAGGAAGAGATAAACTCTTACAGGACAGGAGAAAACCACGATGGGTTGGGCTTGTGCCAATTATCCATCCCACTGCAAAACTTTGCTTGGAATGGAGCTAGAGTACATGGTTTAGGTCTCACACAGACAGAGCCTACCAAGACCTCTTCCAGTTGGACACACCCCAAGTGATACTGGGAAAGCTTCCAAATGATTTGGAGAAAGATAAGAGGCCACACTCAGGTTAGGGAAATGGCCTTTCACCTGGAACAGGACACAGGATAGGGAAGTCATTGGTGAATGTAGCTATGTATGCAAGAAGAGGTGATTCACAGGACCATGGTGGCATGGAAATAGCTTGAGTTCCATGAACAGTACAAACAGAACAGCGCGGTAGTGCATTTTGGTACTCCTATGTGTCTGTAATATAGGTTGCTCAGCTTCCTAGCTGCCCTCAGACCACAAAACAGGAAAATGAGTCGGACACAACAAAAATGTCTCCCTTGGCAGCATCACTCTTTACTAAAATCAGAGCAGGCAGAGGTCTCAGGGAAGCAGACCATCCCCCCAACCACCACCACAACAGACTCAGTTAAAGGCTCAGACTGCCCACGTGCCCCAAGAGAGAACGCTCTGGTCAAGCGTTACAAGCAGATCATGCAACAACTGTGCCCAGAGCCGTTTGGGAATGACCGCTACATGGTTCTGCCTCCCCAGGCTCCCTCTTGAGGAAGAGAGTGTTCAGTCATGCATATAGCTGCATGTGGGCTTTTTGGTGACACAAACAGAAAGTGCTTTACTGAACTCACATTTCAGTCCAGCATCGGCAGTCCAGAGCACACTGTGATTCAAAAATGCTACCAGTGATGCTGGAGTCCTCACCCCCCTCAGCCTCATGCTGTCACTTCACAGTTGTCAGCAAAAGTTTATGGGCTCCCCACACCATCCTGGGATCTCAAGTTCACATTCAAGATCAGATGCTGTCTACAAAGAGGAAAGAGACAAAAGGAGCACCTCTCAGAACAGGTTTATAGCCACATGGTTCAATTCCTGACTACAGATTCTGATGACACTCAATAATGTTGTAATACATGATTTTTGTTTTGGGTTTTGTTTGTTTTTTTTTTTTTTCTGCATTGCCTATAATCACTCAAATTCATTTCTCTTACTTGCAGTTTTTAAGTGCAACCCAGTGCATTCATGAGAGCAAATTCACCTGTTAAGTCACAAATTTCTTAGATTTGAGGCCTTTTAATTTTACATTAGAGGCCTACTTCATTTTATTTTATTTTATTTTATTTTATTTTATTTTATTTTATTTGGGATTCCCCCTCAAACTCCCACCCCCTAACAGATTCTCCCCATTTTACTACAATGGTATAGTCCTTCATAAGGAATCACAATTCCATCAGTCTCTTATTTAAGTGTACCCCGACATTGCTGGTACAGAGTCAGACAGTCTGGCATCCCATTATCTACACATTTCCAACAGTTTCATTGGGAGTCCATCTTTTGTTTGGAAGCAGGAGTGCATGTTGCACTGTACCCCCTATCTGGATTTGGTAGACCCCAGTACTCCATCACTATACATTTCCATAAAGGAGAAGTAGAGGCCTACTTCTAAGCATCCATAAAATAAAATAATAACTGGAAGGGCAGCTACTTTTTATTGAACACACACCACATGTACTGTTGGAAGCATTTTCCATTTCTCCTGTCATCCTCACCACCCAACCTGATGAGGCCATGTCTTTCTGCATAAGGTACCTTAATGCTGAGAGAGGCAGTGCTCCTGAGATGGACCACCTTGTAATGACCCATGGAAGGAACTGCCCCTAGAGTTCACTTTACACAGCTATCACAAAGTGTGATCTGGAGATGATCTGCATTAAGTTCACATTAGGTATTATCAAAAATTCAAGATTCCTCAGTCCTTTCTCAGAAAAACTGCATTATCCATCGGGTAGGTCTGGAAGTTAAAGTCAGGAATCTGCAGTTTAAATGACGTTCTCTAGTAAATCTTGTCCCTGTTAACTATTTAAAAAAAAAAACACAGCTTCAAAAGTCCTCGCCTTGAACTTGCCGAGATCCCATATGGGCGCCGGTTCTAATCCTGGCAGCTCCACTTCCCATCCAGCTCCCTGCTTGTGGCCTGGGAAAGCAGTTGAGGACAGTCCAAACCCTTGGGACCCTGCACCCACCTGGGAGACCTGGAAGAAGTTCCTGGCTCCTGGCTTTGGATTGGCATAGCACTGGCTGTTGCACTCACTTGGGGAGTGAATCATTGGACAGAAGATCTTCTTCTCTATCTGTCCTCCTCTCTGTATATCTGACTTTGTAATAAAAATAAAAATAAATCTTAAAAAAACCAGCTTCTCCTGTTTCCAGTGGTTAGTGCCTACTGGGTTGTTTCTTTTGCGCCCACAGTAGTTTAGGGACAAATTAAAATCACAAACAAGAGACTTAATCCTCCCAGCTAAAATGCATGAAAGGGTTTCTCACATCTCTTTTTTCTAGGAGCACATGTTTTAGAATTCTTAGCCTTATGGAAATTTTCTTCTTTCTTTGAAATGTATAAGGGGTCTCCAAAATGTTCATGGGAAGTGCACATTATGAAAAAAAAATAGCACCCGGATTTCAGATTTTTGCCTAAAAATAAGCTGATCATTTAATTTCATTTTAACATGAACTTCCTGAAGTACTTTCATAGGTAAGTCCTTTGAAAACTAGACAGGCCTTTTATCTCTTTCATAACCTAAGGATACCTTTCTCTCTCTTTTTTAAATCAAGATTTATTTTTATTGGAAAGTCAGATTTATAGACAGGAGGAGAGAGGAGAGACAGAAAGATCCTTCATCTGCTAGTTCACTTCCCAAGTGGACGCAATGATCAGAGCTGAGCTGATCCAAACCCAGGAGCCAGAAGCTTCTTCTTAGTCTCCCTTGTGGGTGCAGGCTCCCAAGGCTTTGGACCATCCTCCTTCTTTCCCAGGCCACAAAGAAGGAGCTAGAAGGGAAATGGAGCAACCAGGACATGAACCAATGCCCATATGGGATTCCAGTGCATGCAAGGCGAGGACTTTAGCCACTAGGTTGCCATGCTGGGACCTGGATATCTTTCTCAAAAACCTGGAATATATTTTTGAATGTAAACATCAGGATAATGACACCCCTATTTCCCACTTTATGAGGAAAGGTAGGAACATAACTTCAACAAAAGATGGATCCCAGCTGGCAAAGCTATCGCTAGTCACAAGTAAATGAAGTTTGAGGTTTCTTCCTGTTAAAGCCAATGGGCTACACCTTGAAGGTGACCCCAATTTCCAGGTAAAGTTAATAGGACTTACATGGGGCAAACGGAACTCTCAAGCCTCTTATACGAGGACTTTATTGTTTAGCTTGGCAAAATACACCTAACAGTGTGGGTCTACTTGGCCAGATAAAAAATGGGATTCTCTTCTGTCTTTGCAATCTCTTAGTGGGCTGCCTGTGATATGAGTCACATTCTGGTTTAACGATTGTGCATAATAAAATAGTTTTCTTACCTTTATGAAGAGTCCTCTGGATTAGAAAAGAGGATTCTGATTTTATCTTCCCCTTTGAAGTAAACCTTTAAAAGGTGCTTTCCCCACCATTAATATGGGTCTTTTTACTTTTCCTCCTGCCACTGTGGCAGAGGGTAAGGGTCCTTTTTATTTCAAAGCCCTCTCTGTCACTAGGATGGGGGTTTCTTTTCTGAGCTTTTCTAATAAATCTTACTTTAAAACTAAACTGTGTCCGCACAAAAAATTCTTCTTTCCTGAGAGACAAGAATTGAGGTTGCTGCCGTGTTCGGGGTCAAAAACCCTACAACAGTTTTTGCAGGGTTGGGATGGATTGGAATTCCCCCATCTCCTATCTGAGTAACTGGGTCCAAGTCCAACTCTGCTCCCAGCTCCAGCTTCCTGCTAACGCACATTCTGGGAAGCATGAGACTTTCTCAAATACTTGGTTATCTACTACCTTGCATGGGAGACTTGGGTTGAGTTATTACCAGAAATGTCCGGTGGGTTCTTTCCTCAGGTTAGTATAGAAACAAAAAGCCGGGGATCTGTTGCAAACAGAAAAGTTCATTTGTGAAGGGACCAGGTGAGCTGGGAAGAGAGAGGGGAGGAGAAAGCACCTACAGAGGTGGTGTGCCTCTCAAAAGAGGAGGGAGAGAGACATAAAAGGTTTCAGAAAGTGTCTTGGGATTTTAAGCATTCCCTGGCCCCTCCTAGTTGGGCGAGGAACCTACAGGTGAGATGTTCCCCATTGGTGGTCTCTTAATCAGTTAGGAAATGGGTGGGCAATGCTGGTGACACCCACCTGAGGGTGTGACCAAGACCTCAGCAGGCCTGGATGGTCTCAGAGTCCTGAGCTCCAGTCTTCTGCCTAGTCATTTGGGAGTGAAGTAAACCAATGGATGGAAGATACCTCTATTTGCGTGTATGCATGTACATGTCTCCCTTTATCTCCCTCCACATCTCTCTCTTTCTGCCTTTTAAGTAAGTCACTTTTTAAAAATCTTTGGGGCCCGGCGCGGTGGCGCAGTGGTTAAAGGTCCTCGCCTTGCACGCCCGGGATCCCATATGGGCACCGGTTCTAATCCCGGCAGCCCCGCTTCCCTTCCAGCTCCCTGCCTGTGGCCTGGGAAAGCAGTCGAGGACGGCCCAAAGCTTTGGGACCCTGCACCCGCGTGGGAGACCCGGAAGAGGCTCCTGGCTTCAGATCGGCATAGTATCGGCCCGTTGCGCTCACTTGGGGAGTGAATCATCGGATGGAAGATCTTCCTCTCTGTCTCTCCTCTCTGTGTATCCGCCTTTCCAATGAAAAAAAAATAAAAATAAATCTTTAAAAAAAAAATCTTTGAAGCCTTTTTGGTAGAAAATGATCCTAGAAAAATGATATGATATGACCTTAGCAGACACAGAAATAACAACATAAACCACCAGGGCTACAGATCGCAAACTTCATCTCATACATGTCGCACCCCAACCCTTATATTTTAGAAAAATCCCCACATAAGAACAGACTCGAAGCCTTTACCTGTAAACTGGGATTCCACAATGACAGCCATAGCTGCTCAGCAGCTGCAGCTGCAGGCACTTCCCCCACACACATTCCTGAGAAAGCAATTATCCCTGAAAAGTTCAGGTTAAAATGATTCCACAAACCACACTTGTAAAAGCTCATTTCAGGAAACAGCATACAATAGGAGTAAGATAGTCAAGTGTAGAAAGGTTAAAACTGACAACTTCCACCCACAAAGCCCCAGGGACAGACTGTGCCAGGGAGAGCTGACAGAGTCTGGGCTGTGGGAGCAGCTCAGGAGCAAGTTGCTGCAGTCAGTCAGGAACTTACCCAGCAGCAGTGGGGGATGATGGGTCAGGGGAAATAGATTCCTCATGGAACCACATCCTTCCTGCAAGCGTACAGAGGATTTCTCCTTTCTCCCACTTTACGATCTTCACCTGCAAGGCAGATAAGGGGGAAATTTAGCTGAAAGAATTGGAAGAAATGAAAATCAAGGAGATTTCAGAACTTTGTTGCTTGCTGCTTTTGCCTTTCAGTTATTTTGGAGCTGCAGAGAAATAGGTTGAAGCAAAGGGCCAGTGACAGGAGAACACAGTACTCAGTATCCCACTGGACAACAAAGGAAGACATAAGTATCATTTACTTCTAGAATAATGTTTCCACATTTACATAAGAAGACTTGTGGATTCTTTTTATTAAATGAACATTTCTTTATGCCTATCCTGTTAGGTGCTGAGGACATAAAGGACAATAAGCTAAATTCTGTTCTGCCCTCACAGAGCCTACAATCTAGGTAAAGAAAAACATACACAGAACCTGGGTATTGTTCCCAAACCATTCATTGATTTCTAGTTTGGCTCCAGAGTGTGGGCCACTGTTGTAAAGCTAACAGCTCATCTAGACTTCAATTTAAACGAATGTACTTCTCCCCTGAGATGTGCCCAGCCCCAGATTCCTCTACAGTTTCCTGCAATTCTTCACAAACAGACCCATAAGTGACTCTAAAGAAAGCTACACAAACTGCCCAACCACTCTCTCACAACATCAGTAATGCAGTAATTAGTACATATAGAATACAATGGAAAACTTAACATAGAGGTCCACAAAATTCATTATCCACTAGATAGAAAAATAAAGGACTTGTTGCATATAACTTCTTTGTTTTCTTCCAACATGGCTGCCCCCAAAAGGGAACAGAGAAATTACAGTACGAAAGAGGTCAGTATTAACAACTCCAGAGAGGCAATGTGGCACACCCAATTAAACCTTGGCCAGCAACATCAGCATCCTGCATGAGCCCTCATTTGAGTTCCAGCTGCATCACTTCTGATCCAATCCCCTGCTACTATGCCTGGGAAAGCAGCATAAGATGGCACCAGAGTTCCCTACCACCCACATGGGAGACCCCATTAGAGTCCCAGGTTCCTGGCTTAAGGCTGGCCCAGCCCCACTTATTACAGCCAGCTGAGGAGTGAATCAACAAATGAATCTCTCTTTCTCTTATTCTTTCTCTTTCTGCCTTTTGAATACATAAATAAGTCTTTAAAGAGAAAGCTTTTTCTTGGTGCTGCCCTCATGGCCCATGCATGGGTGCAATCTGGTAATGGGAACACTAAGCCAATGCTCAGCTGTGCAGCAACCAGGAGGTGGCAGCTCTCTCTGGCACAGGCACAGTGTGTCCTAGCAAAAAGGTGTCTGAGGGCATGGGGACACATGTCATCATCAATATGCATTCTCCATCTTATGCCCCTCTCCCTCTGCCTATCTCCAACCCCTTCTCCCTCTCACAGGATTGTAAACCAACTAGCTGAAAGACAGCTTGATGGCTACTAGGGGAGAAAGCATTCTAGGACAAGAGAATATTAACACAGGACTGAAATACAGTCAGCATGTTTTCATTCTACTTATCTTCCACAAATGATAAAAACCATGCTCCCCCTCTACTGCATAGAGCTACAGCTGTGACACTAACGCCAGAATCTTCCATCCTACAGTATCTCTTGACTTTATAGAAGTTTCAGACTTGTTTTGCTTTTCTTTGTTTTTAAGATTTATTTTTATTGGAAAAGCAGATTTACAGTGAGCAGCAGAGACAGAGAGAAGGATCTTCTATGCTCTGACTTACTCCCCAAGTGGTTGCAATAACCAGAGCTGAGCCGATCCAAAGACAGGAGCCAAGAGCCTCCTCTGGGTCTCCCATTTGGGTGCAGGGGCCCAAACTACCCTCCCAGGCTACAAGCAGGGAGCTGGATGGGAACTGGAGCAGCCGAGACACAAACCAGCACCCCTATGGGAGGCTGGTGCTTGAAGAGGTAGGATTAGCTAATTCCGCCATTGCACCAAGTGCATGTTTTTCATTTTACACACACACACACACACACACACACACACACACACACACACACACACACACCATCTGTAGGCTAAAAGAGTCATCCAGGACTGTCTCACACTGTCTCCTCTATGATCAGCCCAGAAATGTGATATGGGTGATTATGACAAGAAAAGCTCAGCTGTTTGCTCTGTATCTGTCAACAAGTTTGGGAACAGCACTTAGAGGAAGGTTGAGGAAGCAGGTTACTCTGTTGGTCTCTATGTAGGAAAGAGCTGGAGGAAGAAGTGATGATTTGAAAAGTCACAGCTCCCACTGCAAGAACACTTTCTGCTTACTAGGCAGGTGTCGGGAGGCTGCTGTGTTCTGAGTGACAGCAGCAGTCCGGATGCAAACACTGGGCCTCTGACAGGCCTCCACGGAACAATCTTTCCCAGGAGATTCCCTACAGCCAAGATGACTGAGACAATCAACTCCAGAGCCCATATTGTGAGCTGCCAGAGCATTCTCTGCTCCTCCTTGTTGTTAATGAAACCATTCCAGAGGCTGAATCTTATTCAGCTATATCAATCAAGATCATCCCCATTTCCCTCTTCCCAGCAGGTTTTGCACTGAAGAAGGCACCAGGTTAGCCAGTCGTAGTAAGGACCTAAAAAGGAGTCAGACAGGGGCCTGCAGCTAGATGTGGATTTCTTACACAAAGCAAAAGACACTCTTGGCACCACCCTTTTCTTCCTCTTTTCTTTTTGTCTTGAACACAAATGTGTTGTCAGCCTAGACATTTTGCTAAAAAACAGTGAGGGGGACGAAGAGAGTCAGAGATGTCAACTTTAATGTCACTGAGCCACCAAACTAATAATTTCAGCTTATTACAGGAAAGAAAAAAAAAACCCTACAATCAGAGTCTCTGCTTTTCAGAGTAGAAATCACTGCTGGATTAGAATATTCGCTTTCCTATTACTTTGCTAGAAGAGTACAGAATGATATTTTTCTTAAAGCACACCAATTCTTAAATTGTCCTGATGTTTATTCGTAATTGATTATTGGGGATTCCCTTTCTAATCCATCATTATAATCTCTTTATATCTTATAATATTTCCACAAGAACCTGTCTTTGTGCAGGACAGACATGTTAAAACATGACAGCAGTGCTTTTACCTTCCCAGCTCAGAATAGTCTTAAATCCAGACAAGGAAACAGAATTGGATTATCTTGCACAGCCTCCCTGGCCTCTGCTCCTCCTATCCCTAACTGCCCACGATCTGCCATGGCCACACCAAGGGATGGTTTTCACAGCCAGCCAACACCAAAATGTGGCAGGAGGCTAAGGCGTCAACAGTGAAGGTCACTCCCAGGCAAAACAAAGGAAAAAAGCTATCAAGAGTAAGAAGGCAGATCTCACAATCATGATGTCACAGAAGGAGAGACATGCAAAAACAGTCTCCTAAGGAGGGAAGAAAAATGTAAAATGTATCCAGAGGATGAAATCAGCAAAATAAGAATGACAGTCAGTCACGCAGGACCCCATCATACTCAAAGGCAAACAAATTGCTCAACTGGTTATAGTCTTGTGTCAATTTTAGACAATTACCTGTTCTCAGGTAGCCATCCAATTTCATGGCTTTCCATGCTCATATGCTCATCCTGTCAGATACCCTAGTTTCTGCAAAGTTACATGAGCCACATTTTAACTTACATAGAAACATATGAGCATGTGGAAATAAAAATTCACACAAACTATTACAAGATGACCTGCTTTCTAATGAAAACCCCAGTGGATGGCTGATGAGGAAACCACTTCCTTGTAAATCTCAGCCTGCTGAACAGAATGATTAAATCTCAGAAAACTTAGAAACTTTCTTCTGAGAGCACTAAACCACCACAAGTGATCTTTCAAGATTCTTCATAAGACCCAAGCGGACAACATGATTCATATAAAAATGTCTCTTTTAGGGGATAGCATTTTGTTAAAGCAGGTAAAGCTACTGCCTGAAATTCTAGCATCCCATATGAGCAGTAATTTGTGTTCCAGCTATTCCACTTTTAGTCAGTCCAGTTCCAACGGCCTTGGAAAAGCAGCAGAAGATGGCTCAAATATTTAGACCCTGCCACCCATGTGGGGGATCTTGAAGAAGCTCCTGCTTCCTGTCTTTGGCCTGGCATAGCTTTTGCCATTATAACCATTTGGGAAGTGAATCAGTAGATGAAAGATCCTTCTCTCTCTTTTTCTCTTCCCCTCCATCCCTCTTCCTCCCCCAGCCTCTCTCTCTGTAACTTTTTCAAATAAGCAAATAAATCCTTTTTTTAAAAAAATGTTTCTTTTGTAAATTCTTCCAAAATTATGATGGAGTTTGATGAATGAGGCAACAGACAAGATCATTTACCACCAAGAAAACTGACAACAAAACTGGATAAGATTTACTGAATGGCTGTTATGACTTGGTGCTTTTCATTTAATTCAAACCTCAAAGGTATCTAGTAACATTACCCTAATAACATCACTAATGTTACTCCACACTACACATCCTAGAAAGCTGGCAAACTTGCGTATTTTCAAATGTTGCCCACTGAACGGGTGGGCTCAATTTGAAAATATAAGATCATCTAATTTTAGAGCCCATCTTCAAAATTACCCATGTTTTCCACAAAATTCCTGGATTCCTCCAGGCTATTCCTGTAAGCTGATGAATGTTTGGACTCGCTGGTCAGGAAGTGCCACTGGACAAAGTAAGGACTTCACAAAGACTGAGAGAGCTCAATCAAGGCCCCCTACTTTTTCCCTATATTCTCCTCTCCCCTCCACACTCCATACCATCTAATAATAACCTAGGAAATGTGTTTAATTTTCCATTTGTGCTTTCCTTGGTACTCCTAGATTTCTGGAGTTACTTTAGGCTCATGAGACATCTTTTTTAATGACTAGCAGGGATACGCTTACAAGAAATGGCTCTTCATTGTCAAGTTATTGTTCTTATTTAAGCTTCTCTATATTTCAATTTTTCTCCTTGTTCAGGTATATTGTGCTGTTCCATCATGGTCTCAAACTGACAACTGCTTCTATAAGCATTCTATCAGCATTCAAAGCCAGAAGAGGAAGACAGCCAAGTTTTCCTCCTTAGTCATGAAAGCAAAAGCTTTTCCATAATCCCTCACATGGACCTCATTAGCTGTAGGACAAGCTTCTGTGACAGAAGACTGGAAAGGTAAAAGAAGACAGAATGTTGGAGTGAGCCAGTCCTAATCCACACATCAGGTTCACCAAGCAGTAATGCTTTGCCTTCCCTCTGGATCCCTGCACACCTTCTTCCTTCTCCCTTCAATCACTGGGAGTATGTCTTCTTCCCTGAACCCTCTCCTGACTCACATACCCCCAAACACTCCCAAAGTAAGTAAGCACCTCTCTGTCTGTTCTTTAAGCCCTTGGATTCAGCTGCCTTGTTTCTTGTCTTTATTCTCTGCTGGACCCAACTCCTGGGAGGCGGAGCCATGAATTCCTCATTACTGTATTTCAGGTGCCTATCACTGCCACTCAACATAAGCCATTACTAAAAAAAAGGAAGTGACAAATCAAGGGATCCAAGTTGGGTCTTTCCAAGCCCAGCATCTATGCTCTATTCACTATAGAATACTGACTGCCTGGAATAGATCAGTATTGTTTTAAATTCACAGGAATATTCACCAGCTGGCCCCAGAGACACTTCAGGGTTTTATTACTGTCATCATCACCATCAACAACAACACCACCACCACCACCACCACATCTCTAACTTTCCCTCTCTAATGGAGGGCCCAGAAGCATTTGGAATAACCATAAGCCAGGTATGAGGACAACAAAGCCTGAAAAATAGTCAAACTGGGTGACCAGTCCCAGATTCCCAAGAAAAATTAAAAGCTGAATATAAGTGTATTTCAGAATCCAAGTAGGTATCCCCCAACTGCAGCTTCAGCTCTAAGGGGCATTTGTTTATATGTTTCCATGTGTGCTTAGTATTTGCAGACCCCCAGCTCACGTTTTGTGATATTTTTTAGCTAAACTCCAAATGTACAGCAATGGCTCAAAGGTAATTCTTCATGCAGAAGAAACATACCTAAGCTTTTAAGCAGACAAGATCCCTCAGACATGGCTTATAAAACATTGTGCCCAACCTGCACAGTGCCATTAGACAGCAAGATCCTTTTCAGTCACCTGTTGTCCTCTACCTGCTCCCTCTGGACCCACACGAGAGACAAACCATCACTATCACTGCTTTGGCCACCTGCATGACAGAAATAATTACCTTCCTTTGGAAGTACACACTGTTTTCTTTGGCAGGAAGCCTCTTCCTTACCTTTTCATTCATACTTCCCCTGCTCAATACTCAGAACTCACATTGTATGGGCCATCCACAGCTCTGTTGCAACAAGTTTTTAATTAAAAGAAACCTTTAACTACCATGGTAATATTAAATATAGCCACAAAAGCTTTGATATGCTTCTTTCAAAACATGAAAATTAATTCCTCACCCTTCAAACATGAACTATAGTTAGTGACTCACTTCTGAAAAAAAGAGGAATAAAATGAGAACAAAGGTGTGTGACTGTAATAGGTCATAAAAAGAACAGGTCTCTCTCCTCCACCTCCCTGCCTGCCTCCCCACCTGTCTTCCATCCTCTCTCCCCCTCACTCTGTTCACAAGTATATTTGAGACGCCCCAAGGAAATCCCAGTCAGCAGCCATACAAGTGAGCTCTGAGGCAAATTCTCAATTGCTTTAGTCTCAGACTACTGACTACAATCTCAAGAGAGAGCTTGAGCCAAAACCATCCTATTATGCTGCTCCCAAATTTCAAAAGCATAAGAACTATGAAATAAGAAACATTTATTGTTGGGCCTAGTACAATGGCTCAGTGCCTAAATCCTGCCAAGATCCTATACAGGTGCTGTTTCATGTCCCAGCTCTTCCATTTCCCATACAACTTCCAGCTTATGGCCTGGGAAAGCAGTACAGGATGCCAAAGCCCTTGGGACCCTGTACTGGTGCAGCAAACCCAGAAGGGCTCCTGGTTTTCAGTATTGCTCTATAGCTAATCTTCTTTTTTCATGTTAGAGGATACATAAGCAGTAAGAAGCAGAAAACTAGTTCTCATACTCTATTTTAATAACTTGACAGTACAAATTACTGGCATAACTTCCACTACATTGGCACACATGGGCTATTTCTATCGATCTCTAAACTTAAAAGAATCCATGACCTCATCCAAAGTATGCTATTTAATAATTTACTCCATTTAAAGGCCCATTAAAATGTCAGAACTGTCATAAGCCTTGTAAACACTTGGTTACCTCTAATGTCTTAAAATAATAATGCATTATTGATGAAGCCATGGTTTGCAACCACTTTGCTCCCCTTTGACAAAGCTAATATAATATAAGCTTTCTCCACATGGCCTCATTCCTGAGCCACTCAGAGATGTTGCAAAGAATTCTTTGTTTTTTTTTCTCTTGTCCCCAGCCAAGATGATTCCCATGTTTCAATTCATTCTATTCCCATGTTTCAAAGGGACAATGGCATGATTATGAATGTTCCTGGATAAACCAGTTTACAAAAGAAGAACCAGGAGGTTAGAAATCCATTGCCAGATGAAATGTTTACTTCTTTGAATATATACTACTTTCTTCAGTAGAAATTTCTAGGAGAGTTAAGTGTGCACACTTGACTATAGGTACTTACTCATTAGAGAATAAACACAAGGAATAGTATTCATTTGCGCATCAGTCAAAACAGTAAAACAGAGCCCGGCGCGGTGGCACAGTGGTTAAGGTCCTCACCTTGCACGCCTGGGATCCCATATGGGCGCCGGTTCTAATCCTGGCATCCCCACTTCCCATCCAGCTCCCTGCCTGTGGTCCGGGAAAGCAGTCGAGAACGGCCCAAAGCTTTGGGACCCTGCACCTGCATGGGAGACCCAGAAGAGGCTCCTGGCTTCGGATCGGCATAGCATTGGCCGTTGCACTCACTTGGGGAGTGAATCATTGGACGGAAGATCTTCCTCTCTGTCTCTCCTCTCTGTATATCCGCTTTTCCAATAAAAATAAAATAAATCTTTAAAACAGTAAAACAAAAACAATTCTCCAACATACAGGGAATCCTCCCAAAACTAGATTTGCCAAAGAAAACATAGATGCTCCAGGTAAATTTTAATTTCAGATAATAGTAAATAATTTTTTTAAAGATTTATTTATTTATTGGAAAGTCAGATATACAAAGAGGAGGAGAGACAGAGAGGAAGATCTTCCATCTGATGATTCACTCCCTAAGTGAGCACAACGGCCATTGCTATGCCGATCTGAAGCCAGGAACCTGGAACCTCTTCCGGGTCTCCCACATGGGTGCAGGGTCCCAAGGCTTTGGGCCATCATCGACTACGTTCCCAGGCCACAAGCAGGGAGCTGGATGGGAAGTGGAGCTGCCGGGATTAGAACCGGCGCCCATATGGGATCCCAGGGCGTTCAAGGCAAGGACTTTACTGCTAGGTCACGCCGCTGGGCCCTAGCAAATAATTTTTTAAAATGTCCCAAATATTTTATAGGACATAGTTATACTAAAACATTAACAGCTATGTATTTAAAAGTTCAGATTCAGTTTAGCATAATATATTTTTGTTTGTTACAGGTAGCAATCGTACCTAAAAGGCAAGTCTTAAAACCCCACCTAGCATTAAAAACACTGATGGTATGAACAGTGTTTCCTAATCCTGGATATATATTAGAATTACCTGTGATTGCCTGGTGCACCCCAGGGAGCAGTTAAATCAGTCTGTGGGAGGGACCTAGACAGTATTTTAAGCCTCCAGGGAGTTCTAGTGGGTGTCCAGGATTCAGAACCACTCTGATAGAGAACTGCACTGAGTCCACTGCAAAATCTCAGATATAAGGCACATTAAGGGTAATTTCAGGATCTCATGGCAGGGAGCTATGTAAGTATTTTTTTAAAGTATATTCAATGCTTTAATATTTTATATTTGAAAATGAAAAGCAGATCTGTTACATTATAAACTACACAAGAATTAAGATTCAGTGATTCATATCTGAATAGTTAAAAGATAAGGAAGGACAAAGTGTGGGCCTAAGGGAACTTTCTAGATGGGACAAACCACCTGGTAACAGGGAACAGGAGGTAAGATTCAAGAAGCAAGGGCCAGCATAGTGGCATATAGGCAAATACTCCATCTGCAATACCGGCATCCCATATGGGCACCAGTACTAGTCCCAGCTGCTCCACTTGCCGATCCAGCCCCCTGTAACAGCGTTGGAAAATGGTAGAGGATGGCCCAAGGCCTTGGGTTCCTGTACCACAAGGGAGACCCAGAAGCTCCTGTCTTCCAGCTTCAGATAAGCCCAGATTGGTCACTACAGCCATTTGGGAAGTAAGCCAGCAGACTGAAGATATTTCTCTCTCTCTCTCTCTCTCTCTCTCTCTCTCTCTCTCATTTGACTTTCAAGTTAACTAAATAAAATATTTAAATAAAAAATCCAAGAGGCATGCAGGATTTAAATGACCCACAGATGTCTCAGATCAGAAGGTGATGTGGACCAGCGTTCAAGCAGGCATGCAATAAAATCTCAGCTCCCAACACTAGAATCTCGAGTCACCAGCAGTCTGAGCACCAGCAGATGCACTGTTGATTATGTAGTTGTGCCAACTGAAGAATGTTGAAGGGCATCAGTCTCAGCACCTGGCAGACCCAGGAGTTGCAGGTGACGAGGAAGAAGCATTTGACTAGACTGGAGACAGAAATAGAGAGCAGAGCAACTACTGAGCGCAATTCCATGCATCCTGCACTTACAGTGTGCTGACGCTGAGTCTGACACTGACAGAAGATACAGCTTTTAGTCTGCCTGCTCTAAGGACGCTGAGTTATATTGCTCCATGTCAGAGTTCTTTCCTGAAAAACAAGGTACATAGCTTTCTTCACACAGACGTGGGGGTAGCACGTTACATCACAAGCTGCATGTAAAAGAAATGAAACTCACTTGTCAGGTATCTAAGGTGGAGCCTATCACTTTCCTTGTAACAGACACTATTGGCACGTGCCCTAAATCCTTCCATGTCATGGATTCACCCTTGAGGTTCCTCCGTCTCTTGTTCATGTAACATTTTTTTAGGTCACTGTTTTTTAGGACCCCTGTTTTTAGGACACTGGGACTCCAGTGTCTGACATAGCACTCTACAAAACAAATGATCAATGAGTGTTTACTGTTTAATTGGACTTAAGAAATCTATGCAGAAGTTCTGCTTTCTAAAACACATTTTGGTATTCCAGACACGGTTTATTTTTATTTTCTCTCCTGTCAGTCAATATCCATTTAAGGTCTGTATTTACTAGATTTGTGACCTTTAACAAGCAATTTAACTTCTCAGAACTTCAGCGAAGTCATTCAATAAAATGGGAGTGTTAGTGGTATCTGCCTTAAAGGTTTGTGGTAAGCAATACTTTACATTATGTATGAATATCCTTAACCCCTTTACCTGATGTACCATAAGAGCTGAGGAAATATTTACTGTGATAGAAAGATCACCACTCAACTCAGTCAATAACCCAGCAACCCTCCTGGTTCAGACATGTGCACTGCAGAGCAGCCATAATCCTGGTACCCTGCAACAGGTTGCACTGAATGTGACAGCTTACACCGAAAGCTACAGCCCCAGAGCAGCAACGGAGATCTGAAGTTACCTACTTCCTCAGAAGCCACAAAAAGATGCTGTAAATATTCCACAGCTCTCACCAACTACACAGTAAGAAAAGTCATTTTACACTAGCTGTATCCCCTTCCATCTCCATTGTCTGTCCCAGGTCTATATTTTACTAAGAATTCTATACTCCTACCAAAACAACATTGTGCTTTTATGATCTGTTCTATGCAAAAAGTCTTAAACTTTCTTATCCTGTCCCCCAGAGGCATAAAAGTAAACCCAAAGCCATATGGCACTGGAATTAAAGTAAATGTATTGTTGCACAATGGAATTTTCCAATATTATAAATGATTTCTTGGTGATATTGTGAGAGTAACCCGCTCGTATGTACACTGATTCACTATAGTTATAAGTCTCCCTTTGAAGCCCGGTGGCTGTCTTTCAAATGGAGCTTGGCTGAATTAAGCCACACAATCATTATACACTGGAACCATTCCCTGGCCCAGCTGTCTCATGGAAACCACCTATTTCAGACCATCCATACAGCTTCCATCTTTCAATACACAAAGAGTCCTACAATTCCATTTTCAAGATTTATTTATCTATTTGAAAAGCAGAGAGGGACAGGATAGCAGAGGAAAAAGGAGAGATAGCTTAATCTGTTGGTTTTTTCCCCAAATGGCTGCAACAGCCAGGGCTGGACAAGGCTGGAGTCAGGAACCTGGAGCTTCCTCCAGGTCTCCCATGTGGAAGGCAGGCACCCAAGAACTTGGGCGATCTTCTGCTGCTTTCCAAGATATATTAGCAGGAAGCCAGCTTGGAAGTGAGCAGCCAGAACACTATTTGATGCCAGCATTGTAGGCAATGGCTTTAACCCACTGCGACACAACATTGGCCCTGAGTTCTCTTTCTGGTTTATAGAGTAAGTTCTATCCATGATTAAAGGCATCTGATATTTTCACTTGAATTGTGTTAAACATTTTTGGTACCAGCTGCCTTCCTAATTTGTTCATTTGCAAATAATAAACAGAATTCATAAAAGAAATTGTGTAATTTGCCTTAGTAAATAAGGAAAATATGGGTTTCCTTCCTTCAGGGAGAAACTTAGTAATTACTAAACATGTCAACATACATTAAAAATAGCTCTTTAGGCAACCTGTCTGTATATATAAATAAATCACATAATATATACACTCACAAATATGTTTGGTACTTTGATAGTTCCAATCTTACAGCTCCCTGGGTTCACTTTGTCTTCAATATTCAAGAAAAATGATTCAAAAAACAATTCCATTGAGAAAGAGACAACAGCCCTGATACTTGGGAACTCACCTGGGACATTTATCGGACTGGCCTTGGAGCTGGCAGGAGCTGGTCTGGCACATACAACAAAGCCCTGGAGTTCTATTGAACGTAAGCAACTTTATACAACCTCAAGATCTGACGAGGCCATTATGTGGCAGTGAGGAATCAAGACAAAACAAGGCCACTCCACGCCTGTGAAGACAGGAAACATGAGCGCTGTCCAACCAACATATTACTAAGCATCCCCCTCTCCTGGCTAACAACAGTACTGCTGCTTCTTTAACGATTGATAGTTTGGCCTTGTTTTAATTTACCCTCATAACAGATAAGATACTTAACACATGCAATTACATCTATTCCTTGACAGCATCCATTGAGAACACTTACTTAAGACTTCCCCCAAAATAATCCAGTCCAAGCCCAAACCACCTTAGTCCCTGACAGCATCTTCTCACTGAAACACTTCACAGCTCACTACAGTGCACGTTTCCCCTCCTGCAGCTACAACAAAGCTCAGAGTCAATTGGTTCCACTATACGCATGTCGTTAGTGGTGGTCTTTGGCTAGGACATGGACACCACAAAATATCAGTCTTAATCCTTTCTACCTTTCAAATATCACTTCTGCTGCATCAGAGTTCTCTGAAAAACAAGAGAGACGTGTTTATCTAACTTCTAGCCTTGGGTCCCTCCTGTGCCGTGGCTACCTTCTGGATCTCACCAGCACTCTCGGCTTCCCCTTGGGAGCCCTGGAGCACCTCATGCTGTACTGTCTCTCATTTTGCAGAATATGACAAACACCAGGCTGTGAGCAAGAGGCATCTGTGTGATGATTTCGAAGTATGAATGCAGCATGGAACATGTGACCTCTGAGCCAAAGTTTCTCAAGGACTCCCTCACTCCTCTTCCCCACCACAACCTCTTCCCCTACTTCTTGCCCCTTAAAGAATTTCTATCTGGGTTCACCTTGCAAACCTATCTCCACTGTACCAGCTTTGCTTACATATTTGTCTATCCTTTTATCACAATCACCAACCTTCATCCTCCAGCAATTACTCCCACATTCTTATCTTGTATATTTGCAAAGCCCTCCAAACCCTTGGCTCTCTTGCCAACAGGAAGTAGGTAGGATGGTAGTAGTGACATGGAATCTCTGTCATCCAAATCACTTTTACTTGTGAATGTCTACCCAAAACAAACCATGTAGCAGTTGGGATGGAGCTAGGTTGAGGAGTATTTGGGAAAATCACAATGGCTATAAAATTACCGCCCCCCCCCCCAGAGATATTTTAAAGTTTTAAAGAAAAGAACACATTTTTATGTGGAAATCTCTAATCCTACTACAGTGTGACTTAGACATTTTTATGGGTTGGGGCTGGTATTGTGACATAGCAAGTTAAGTTGCCACCTACAACTACAGTGCCCCTATGGGTGCCATTCAAGTTCTAACTGCTACTGAGAGTTGGGATGCAGAAGATCATGGCGCAAGTGCTTGGGACCCTGACACCCATGTGAGGCACCCTGAGATCTTAGCTCCTGACTTCAGCCTGTCCTGGCTGTAGCCATTATGGCCAGTGGGGGAATAAACCAGAAGATGAACAATCTCTTCCTTCTCCCTGTCACCCTCTTGCTCTCTTCCTCTTTTCTGACTCTAACTATGGCTTTCACATAAAACCTTTCTGAAATGTTTGTGGGTTGAGAACCTCAATAAAAAACACATTTAGGGTCATGTTGAGATATGTGCATTCAAGTCCTAGCTCTGCTCTTCATTTCTGCTTCCTGGTGTTTAGCACTCTGGGAGGCAGCAGATGAGAGCAGTCCACTTGCAGTGTCTTCTCCCTTAGTTCATACATCTTCTCAAACAGAGGTTTGTAAATACACATTCACCATATTTCCCTAAAGTTAAATTTATTTTCAATGATTCTGGAGCTCAAGACAGCCTTGCTGGTATGTTTACACTGTCATGTTTATTTTCAGAGGTAGAAAAGCAATAAATGAAAAATATTTCCCTTCAGTAGAAAACATTATGCTTGCATATTTATAAATATAGCTAGTCATTTTTTAAAACACTATGTCAAAAATGTAATTATTATACATTGCTGGTGATAATTTTCTGATTATTTCTAGTTTATAGACCAGAAGTAATATTCATGACATGAACTACACTTAGAGCTGAATATAGAATAAAAATGGATTTAAATAACCAGAGCAAACTGCATATCTGAGTAGTCCATGCAAATAAGCTCAATTATTTTATGTTAGAGCTACTGTAATAGGAAATCACCATAATAAGAAATAATAAAGCCACCATTTTTTTGAGTACCTGTTTTATTCCAAATATTGTGAGGGATATTTATACTACATTATATTTTATTTTATACTCAGAATAACCACAAGAAACAAGCACAGTAAATCCCATTTGGTGGATAAGGAAACCAAAGTGCAGAGCGATAAGTAACCTACCCATCACACTAGTGTTGAGATCTGTATCTCCCTACGTACGTCTGCACGTGTTTCCTGTTCCTACATTCCTGTTCTGTCTCAGGCTTGAAGAGGGCGACATGCAGGTGCTTATTCTGTGACGAGGCTTTGCCCAAACACCAATACCTGTAGCACCTGCTAGAGAATACAAAAGGCAATGACTTACACTAGGCTGCCAAGAAATAATCAGGCAGTGTACTCACCCATGTAGAATGAAGGCAGGTCGGCTTCAGAGGGCTTCTTTTCCAGGAGATGTGTTCTCAGCAAGTGATGTTTACAACTGCAATTTCTTCAGAGTCTGCCGTAGCCCTTGGATTCAGATAGTATAGAATGGTCACTTCTCAGCCTTTTTACTAAATCAAATGCAGATGATATGGGATGTTTCCACCCAGCAGACGATAAGCTCCTTCCAGATCATTGTACCCAGCATCAGGAAGGCCATTCACTGATAACACTAGACAAATGCCGGTTTCTGCTTGGGGTCCTTCTCTCCTGTAATGATCTATTCTGTTTCCTGGAGGAATCTTCCTGAGCTCAGAAGCATGCATTCCAATTAGTGTATCAGGGCCACACGTTTGTGTTTCATTGTGTTTCTTCTTCACTGGTAGAGAGGGGGCTTGAGGAAGATTCCACACCATCACATCTGCATAAATTCCTCGGTGGCAGCCCAGCTGCTCTTTGATAATGAAGCAAAAATGGATTCCTGAAATGGGTAGAACAGTACTATATCCTTTAACAATAAGGCATTTTGCATTACAAAGCTCCAATGTTAATGAACTAGTGGTTAATGCATTTCTTCAGATTTGGACACTATATGTATGATCTTTAATGTGCACCATCCTCTCTCGGGAGTAGCTATCACTAGTTTTCCCCCCCAGTTAACACTATGAGAACTAATTATGATTTCTTATACTAACAGTAAGAGTATAAAATTTGACTGGGGAGTGTGGACTAGAGACCAACCTTCTAAATTTTACATAAATGGAACAATAAACAGTCATGAAGGGAATTTTGATGACACAATAATTTTTATTAGCTTGATGTGCTGACTAAGGAAAGAAATAGCATGCATTTTTAAAAAGTGACTTTTTAAGGAAGAATAATTTGTTTGCATAAAATATGATTACTTACCCTCATGAATGTTTATTTGAATTTATTGCACTATAACCAAAGCCAACTATATCTGCCACAGCAGGGAAACCAATTTCTGCATTGAAAAACAAACCAAAGGTATGACTTGGAGCACATCAGCACCTAATGCTGACTCAAGAAATCAAAGCCATTAAAATCCTGCTGATTTTTCCAGAATGCAAGGTTCTAACAAGGCTGAATCCTTTAGAAATAGAAGAAAATACAGCTCATACTGGGGCCCACTCCTCCCACCAAGAGGAGCCCTGGAAGATGCGAGTCAGCACCTCTCAACTTCATCTGAGTTTCCACCTGCTTTCCACCTTAGAGTCTGTCAATTGGCAATCTGAGGCTACAAAGCAGAAAGAAGAAAGAAAAGAACAAAGAAGGAAGAAGAGACCTTTCTTGATCCTTGACAAATTCTTTTTAACTAATTTCCTCCCTTAAGGCTACCCAAAGAAACACAAGTCAAAATTGGCCGAAAAACCCAATCTCGTTTTCCAGAGCACTACTCTTCCAAAGTTGTTAAACTACCTCTACTCCAATCTGAACAGAAGTTTGATAAGCAATTACTGATGAAGGAGCCCAGAGACTACTAAAGAACATCTTGGACTGACTGGAGAAAGAAGGGCAAGGCTGTTGGAGCTGAGCCTAACATATTGAAATCTTCAAATATGCAAAAAGGAATTTTTTTTAGCGATGATTCTTCCTAATGAACAACTTGTCTTAATTTCATCAAGGGATGTCTCATCATTTTTGTTTCTAAAGAAACAGGAAACTACGCTTTGTGATATCATTTTGTTATTCTCATTTAAGCCAGTCTCACTGAAAACACATTAGTAAAGAACCAGAAAAAGGGATTGAAATAAATCAGCAAAAAGGCTGAATAATGATGTGCTGAGCACGTGGCTTGGTATGCCTCTCACAGGTTGTCATCTTGGAAATTAAGAAACAAGAGTTAGCTAGCCTGGCCAAGGTCACATAGCAGGAAACAAACTTTCTGGCCTACACTTTATCTTTTATAACTGCCGGCCACACAATGTAGAATCGAGACTTCACTTCTCACATTATGATTCATTATGTTTGTCTTTGATTTTTTAAGATAGAAGTAAAAATGTAACATGTTTATATTTCTTTACTTGGAAAATTTCCACTTTCTCTTTAGATATCTAGTTAAGCTCTCAGCAGTCCATCACTTGTTCACTAGGCACAATTATTAAAACTGATTTTTTGGGCCCAGCACAATGGCGCAGTGGTTAAGGTCCTCACCTTGAACGCCCAGGATCCCATATGGGCGCCGGTTATAATCCTGGCAGCTCCACTTCCCATCCAGCTCCCTGCTTGTGGCCTGGGAAAGCAGTCGAGGACGGCCCAAAGCTTTGGGAACCTGCACCCGCGTGGGAGACCCGGAAGAGGCTCCTGGCTTCGGACTGGCATAGTATCGGCCGTTGCAGCCACTTGGGGAGTGAATCATCAGACGGAAGATCTTCCTCTCTGTCTCTCCTCTCTGTGTATCTGCCTTTCCAATAAAAAATAAATAAATAAGTAACTGATTTCTAAGACTGTTTCTTCAGAATACAGTCATATAAGACAGATATGGCAGATGTCACTATGAAGGTACCTTAAAAACTTTATGGACGGGCCCGGCGCTATAGCCTAGTGGCTAAAGTACTCACCTTGCACACGCTGGGATCCCATATAGGCACCGGTTCTAATCCCAGCGGCCCCGCTACCCATCCAGCTCCCTGCTTGTGGCCTGGGAAAGCAGCAGATGACGACCCAAAGCCTTAGGACCCTGCACATGCATGTGGGAGACCCAGAAGAATTCCTGGTTCCTGGCTTCATATTGGCTCAGCTCCAGCCATTGCAGCTGCTCCTTCTCTCTGTATATCTGCCTTTCCAATAAAAATAAATAGATCTTTTTAAAAAACTTAATGGAAAAATAGGAATAGAAGATAAATTTGCTTAGGTGTGAAATATTTTGAAAGCTATGTATAGTTTTTTTCTGGTAATTTGTCCATGCATTTTTAAAAACTCCTCATAACCATGGACTTTAAATCTTTCCATGCCAAAATGAACTTAGTTTTTAATCCTATTTTCTACAGACTTTCTTAAGAATATAAAATGCACCAAGATAATTAGGAAATGTAACCTGAAAAAAAGATTTCCTGAATTCTCGATTTGTGCTGCCATTCTTGCTTCCTTCGGCCACAGGACAGAGTTAGGGCAATAATTTCAGCCACTTCACTGGGCACTTCTCTTCATCAGAAGCTCCAGCAATTACCCAAAATGTAAGGGTTGATGACTATATTTCTAGACACAATGATTGTGTCTACTGAGGAAAGTTGGTTTTGTCTTTTTAAAATATCATCATGAAAGTATCCTCACAGTGTGAAACTTGAATACCTCATGCAGTGTGTCAAGAGGAAAGTTAACAAAAAAATTGCAATATTTTATTTCCACATTATTTCCCGAAGCCCCCTGTTGTCTGGACCCTTCCGGCCTTTTAAACCACAGGTAGCTTCTGGCAAAGCTGGATACAGATGGTAATGTGGAATTCCTGGCAACTGAGACAAATGTGCATAATATTAAGCACCCACCTTACAGGTACAGAGGCTCACAATGCCCCCGGCTTCTACTGAGGCCTCAGCAAGGGTTGCTTGCTAAAATAATTTCCTGGTTAACAGGAAATCTATGCAACATTTCATGCCTGGGTGTTTTCAAAAGTCCCCTCAGAGAGATCTACAATATGCATTTTAATTTAGGTTTACACGTTTCATTTTTAATAGAATGAGCTGTGCATAACAATGTGTTTTACAATGTGAAATAAAAAGCCTTTGATACAGTTTATTTACTGGAAGGTTTTAACTCTAAATCCAGAACAAATAAAGCAAAATAAACACAGCAGGACTCCCAACTTTCCTCTTCCAAAATTTGGTGATCTGTGTGGGCATGGATTTAGGAACTATTTGGGATACGGAAGAGAAAGGAACTAGTAAGGTGCACCATGTTTGTGACATCCTGTGTCATCGACGTTCTCACCTGGCGCTGACGATCTCCACAGTGTACATGAGAGAGACATCCTCAAACCTTCTTGGTCATTTTGTCACATTCGCTGGAAATCACTTTTTTGCAATCAGCTTTGAGAAGCTTTTTGCCATTGCAGTACGTAAATAGGGATGTCAAATTCATTTGAAAACACAGTAGGAGAGTTGATTTGGAGTTAACAGACATTTTCTTTTTGTTTATATTCAGGCTTTATAGAGCTCCAGGTTGGTTAACACAAATTTTCTAACAGAAGCTCTGTCTGGGAACTGTCACTGGTCTTACAAAACATCCACCACTTCATCGCAACTTCTGACTGATGAAGAGTGAGTCCCTGGGCCCTCAGATGCTTACCTATAACTCACAGTGTGGGAAAGAGCTGCCTTCAAGCATCTCTTCAGAAGGCTACACTCTGTATTGGCATTTGTTTCCAAGCCACCATCAGCAGTTCTTAAAAACATCAATATCTTCTGGAAGACTGGCCCTTTCCTCCAAGGACTTGGATGAATTTCACTAGTGGGTAAAGGACACTTCAAAGAATCTCTTCCAATTAGATTGACCATAAACAACCTTGCTTCATTCCACAAACCTGGAAATTTATGAAACTCTAGAACTTTACTCTCAATTTCTTTTCCTTTTTGATATTTGTTAAAATCTTTTTACTGGTCTCACAGGTCATTAGTGATAGGAAAAATAATTGTACTATTTCTCCACCCTTCATTGGCCTAAAAGTTAGAGATTTCAAATGAAATTTTAAGACTCACTTCCTTTTTTTTTCCTGAGTATTTTCTAAACTCTAAACAGCCTCCAAAATTCAGCCTCAATGAATCTTTAATGGAAGCCTCCCAGGATACTCAGTGCCCACCCTGACTTGCCATGGGCATTAACTTCAATTTCATATACGATCCAGGCCTCTTCTTAATCTGGTTTTTGTAAAAAATGAGGGTTAAGACAGAATAAAAAAGGAGATAAAAATATTTACTCCCCTCATGAGGGTTGCTAAATCCAACACCTAGCCCTGTAATTAAGGCAGAACTACCCCCCATGACCTTGATCTTCTCAGCCAATGACCAGAGTCAGAGGAATACATGCCCAAGTGGAACACACAGCTTGGAATAAAAGCAGGGCGGACAGCCCATGCTCTAGGTGAACAAGCCAGCTCCCAAGAGAAAGAAGAATGGAACTATCCTGAGCACATTTTATCAGTCACATAGGTCACTCTCCCCTCCATGGGAGTAGAGTGAATAAAGGGAAACTGACTGGAAAGACACCAATGAGTTCTCAAAAAAGCCAGGAGTGGGCATTTGATGTAGCAATTAAGATGTTTGCTGGAATATTTGCATCCCATAGTGCAGCACCTGTATTTGAGTTCCAGTTGCAGTTCCTGACTCCAACTGTCTGTTAATATCCACCCTGAGAACTTCATGTGGCCTAAGTACTTGAATCCATGTCAGCGATGGAAAACCTATATTGAGCTCCCATCTTCCATCTTAGGTATGTCCCCTATTCAATCATTGTGAGAATTTAGGG